GCGTTTGCTATAGCCTCCAGGATAAAGGAATTGATCCACAGTAGTGTAGAAAGTTTGTATGTTATACAATAGGAAACCTTGAGCCACACTCTATGCAATGCGCTGATACGTAGTACAACAGATGACTGAACCAGTTAATTATCTATTCAAACTAACAAAGCAAAGCAAGTCTCAATGGGAATACATATGGTCGTGTCTACATGCATATCTGTAAAATCAATTCTGAGGCAATTGTCTGATTCCTGGAGTGTGTAAGGATGGTTGGGTAGGTTAATGGTTAAAGCGTCCACACGCCACGCTGAAGACCCGGGTTCGATTCTCCACATCGGTACAATGTCTGAAGTCCATCTGTGGTGTCCCCCACATGTGATATTGCTGGAATATTGCTAAAAGTGGCGTCAAACCCTGCTCACTCACTCAGTAAGGTCATGAGTGAGTGAGTGGGTGAATAACAGTTTATAGTCACATCCGCAGTATTTTAGTCATATCGTAACCAGAACTAGTTACAACTTCATAATAACTACACTAAAATGAGACATTCCTGTTGACAAAGGACAGTTCAACCAATTAAAATATCACAGAAACAAGAATTAAAACTAGCATAAATCTCTAAATGTGTACTTTTATCAGGACACTGCAGTATAAAAACGGGCTAAGTATTGTTGGCAACTAGGTCCCCATACTAGGGTCTTAAGGTCATGTCATGACGTTAACGTTTGTCAATCAGACAGTCCTGTGATTTACATCATGAGCATCCATCAATTTAGAAACGGTGACATGTGTCAAACAAGCCAACGAGCCAGACAACCCGATCTTGTTAGTTGTCACTAACAAGCAGGGGTTGCAGAAGATCAAAATCTCCCTGGGTTGGTGAACAAGACTAATGGCACTGATATTCCTCAGATGATAATAAAAAATCTTATACAGATGTGTGTGTGCGTGTGTGCGTGCGTGCGCGCGCGCGTGTGTGCATTCGAAACAGTTTGGTGAGCAGGATAAGATACTGTTCAATAAGAGCAGCATTTTTATTTTCTGTGTTTTTCATCAACGGCAAACCTTTCTATTTTTATTCCCGTCCACCCCCACCCCACCCCAGCCCCACACACATTCTTCATGTCATTTGTTCTGAATTATGTTTTGTTTCAATTTTTACCCCCAAATGGTGCCCAAATAGACATCCACATATTTAACGTTCTTAAAGGTGTACGAACAACCATGTGGGGATGAGGTTTTTGCAGTTTACATTTTACAAAATGATGATTAATTCTGACTACTTGCTGCCTTTGCCCATGTCGATAACCCTTGGTTGCCTGGTCCAGACTCAGTTCTTCACAGTCTTAATCAAACTCACCCTGTGCTTGTCCCAAGGCCCTGATAACACACGGAAAGAATCACTAAGTTCCAAATGTGCTATGACTACTTTACAGATGACTGGATCAATCAATAATGAATACAAACCAACGAAGCAAACCAAGTGATCTCCATGCAGACATTTGGTCGTGTCTGCATATGTATATGTAGAATCAATCGTGACAACATTGCATAGTTCCTCGAGTCTGCACATTGACAGGAGGTTGGCCACGTGAACGGATCAGTGTACCATTTAGAGACCGCGTGAACACGCTTAAGATTTATGCCACTAAACTTGATGACCAAATCATGGGAAAAAATGGCGTTTTCATCTTGATTCTATTTCTGCGAGTTTCGACAATTCAAGCCATTCCAGGTTGCGAGAATGTCAAATACTCTCATGTCATGACGTTTGACAATCGGCAGTTTTCAAGATGGTTGTTGTGGACAAAACCATCAGTGAATGGAAATGAATGTGCCGCCCTCTGTTATCTAGAGAAAACCTGCGTCACCTTTCAAGTTAACTCAGGAGGATCAGTCTGCAGAGGCTACGCCGTCGCCTTTAACGAGAACTCCGAAAGCGAATCAGCCCCCGGATATATGCTGTATGTATCGGAGAAAGGTAATTCATGCTATAAAACATATACGTGTCAGAGTATTACACAGAGTAGTATGATACATGTTTGCTTGTTTACACTTTTCTGGGACACGTGGACTCCTATAAAATGTCTTTTTGTATGATTGGTTTTCGGGATATTTGAAACATTGATGACATACTGTCTAGAGCAGGAGTGTCCCTTCGAAACATATTCAGTGACAATACTTAGATATGAAACATTACATGGCATGAAACCAACTGTCGGTATTATACTTCCATGATTTTTGGTAAGACGTAGACAGCCCACAATACGACGATGTGCCTATAAATAACCATTTAAAGATGAAGATTATTTCCTCGGAGGGTTTAATGTGAAATACGTCTCTCACTCCAACATAGACTGTTTTACTTAACGTTGAATAACATAGTTGGTATTCATTGCTTTGAAATATCTTAAGAAATAAACACATCGAATTGAAATAAAACAGATCTTCAATGTTGTTTTCCAAATTAAAATTACAAAGTACCTCCTCTTTCAGAGTTCGCACTGTTGTGATATATCCTAACGTATTTGTTCATTCCTGCCAATACATATATGTTCATTCTGAAGATTTACTTATCCAGTTCTGTGTATCAACTGAATCTGGATTAAGTGGAATTCGTGGGAAAGTCTATTAGATGCCAAATGAAGTAGTTTGAAATAGCGAGTATTTTATGCATTTCACCGATACTGTATAACAAATGGATACACGTCAGCCAGATGGCGAAGTAGTGCTTAGTAAATGATTTGGGACTTTTATGTGTTCATGACGACAAGGTGGTCTTCTATGGAAACGAGGGTAGTGCTAAATATATTGTAAAATACTTATCATTAGTATTTTCTTCTCCAATGACCTGAAGATATCCAGTGGCAAGCAACCACTTTGTAGACTAAGTAGCCAAGGTCCACATGCGAATTGCCCGAGGCCAAGGGGGTATGACGCTTGTGTTACGTAACTAACTTTATGTGTGCAGGTCTTATGATGTTAGTTTTGTGAGAAAAAAGTATCTAAATGTTTACCGCCCTGTTAACAATTAAAATATATATTCAGTTTGCGTCCTCCTAATAACAGTTTTTTCAGTGAAACTGTTAGAAAATGTCAAACCAACCTTGCTTTCTTAGACTGATGTGCCCATAAAGCATATATTCTTGTAATGAAGCTTTGCGTTTGTACTTTCTTGTAGTTCCCGTTGTCTCAGTATGTTCAGTAATCTTGACTCCTAATTTTACTTGTCAATTCAAACTTGTTTTAACTTTCACACGTTTTATGTGGCTACTCTTTAAACCTTTATATCGTACGTGTTGCAATAGATATTGGTTCATATTTATAAATACATTCAATGATAATCTCAGTTTTAATGGTATTTGTCATTGTTTTTTCAGCTCAAGGCTTTATTGGATCTTCGTGTCAGAACATCGCAGACTGTTACGTGGCAAGCTCCGTCTGTGTCAACTCCGAGTGCATGTGTGACCCTGGACTGGCATTCTCACCTCAACAAAAGGCTTGTGTTTCAAGTATGCATGAGATAAAATATTTGCGAATTTATTCGGAGCCCCCCATCAAAGTACGAATTTGCTACAAGTGGGTTTGTAAATCCGCTCTGTTTCCAACGACCAAAGGTCCATGTGAAATTATTTACGGACATACTCCTTTGTAAGCCGTTCACAAAGGGGTGCTTCCTGGTGGTTTTTATTTATTCTGTAAATTCTGACGTGCTGCATTTTAAATTTCCCACTCCCCTTCATCCGTCAGTTGGATGATTTGAATAATACCGTTTTATTAGTGTTCATAAGTATTAGGGGACAAATTATGCCTTTAACTGCACATTTTGATCTACTGATTTTGAATTCAAAATCAATTAGTTCTGCTTCAAATCTTTGAAGGGCATTTAGAAGTGGATTGCATTAGAAAAGCAAGATTTATGGATGTCAACTCCTTTATTGTGAATAACACGTTTCAGAGTGTATGCTTACTCCTTCATCAGGTGAAGGGTAGGGTAGGGAGTATGAGGGGGATATATATATATATACATACAACAACAACTGGCGCCAAAGGAAGCTTCAGGAAGCAATAGACATATGGAGCCAGCCAGCTATCAACCGTGATCAAGGGATCTACTTACCATGTGCTTGGGATTCACTTATCTAATACACTCACCTATGCCTATCACCACCTCTTCTGTCCACTGGCCTCGTGTTTGTTTACACAGTAAGGCTGTGTCACTGGCCTCCTTTTGTTTGCTCTTTACCCCTTCTATTACCACGCGTGTGTGTGTGTGTGTGTGTGTGTGTGTGTGTGTGCCCCCCTCATACTCCCTACCATTCATCTGATGAAGGAGTAAGCATACATTCCGAAGTGTCGTGTTATTCACAATAAATCTTCCTTTTCTTAGTTCTGCTTCTTTGTGAAGTCTGGGAGAAACCAAGCTGACGCTCTTGGTGGTTAAATAGGAAGTTTAACTTGCTTTTAGGATCGTAAAGCATCGAGAATACTGCTAGACATGCCAACGCCTTTCCAGTTACACAAAAAAGAAACGCATAAGCCATTTTAAAGAATTTATTGTGTTAGTTTAAGAGCAATTATTTCATGCAGCTTCAATGGTAAAAAGGTGAAAATTCACACGTCACGATTTTTGAAGAGTGTATAATTAAATCCAACAGAAGTGAGAGATGTAGTCCGAACCATTATGTTTGCAGAATGAGCTAGTTCAAGGCTGTTAGTCCAAACATAGTGGTAATCTCGAGTCGACCCGATCAGCACAGACATGGACACTAGAGGGTCGAATATATTTTATTAAGGAGACGAAAGGACTCTTGTCAGGTTGTTTTGGTGTGATTATATGCATTCAAAATTACATCATGAAATAGAGTGAGTACCTCCTGGACCATAATGGAGTTTGGACGACTGTCTTGTGCGGAACAACCAAATTATTGCTGGGTGATGGATGAACAAAAGCTGAAAATTATTGGCGGGCTTCTGTTCAGTGTACAAACTATTCTTTCATCATCAACCTTCAACCAGTCTTTAACTGACATTCATCTGACTTCATTTTAAGTACCCTAATCCCCAACTTGTGCATCATGTCACAGAAATATACAACATAACTAATTTGTTTGCAGGTTGTACAGAGTACGGTCCTCATTACACTACAATCCGTGGCTACTATATCGGCAACAACAACATGGCTACCTACACCGGGGTGACTGAACAACAGTGCATGGACCACTGCACCAATCATGTCGCCTTTGTCTGCGTGTCAGCTGATAGGCGTGCCTCTGACGGGAGATGTGACCTCACCACCCAAACTCTCATGACTGTTGCCGCATCAAACTACAGAATAGAAACGGATCGTACTATTATTGCCCAGTTTTCCCGAGATTGCAAAGCCTGATCCGACCATGTTAAACTACTCCAAATCTCCTCTGTATTTGTTTACTTGAAACCATTAGTCAGAAGCTACAGTCCTCACTTTGTAATTGACAATATAACATACACTGTAAATGCACTCGAGTTCCAAACAAACGGATCGGTGGAGTAGCCCAGTGGTTAAAGCATTCACTCGCCACGCCGAAGACCCGAGTTCGATTCCATACATTGGTACAATATCTGAAGCATTTATGGTGTCCCCGGTCGTGATATTGCTGGGCTATTGCTAAAAGCGGCATAAAACTAAACTCACTCACTCCAAACATACATTGCAATATTAAACAAATCAGTATTCTTGATGAGATCCCGGAGGTGATCTGACCAGACCAGACCAGACCCAACCTGCGACCAGGTATCCTGGTATTTTGTTCACAGAATGAACCAATCAACTGTAATCAGGCGTTTTGTTATACCGAAATTCACTTATGTTTATGCGGCTTATGTTAATGCGGCCTTTCATGCAGTCTCTTCATCTTCACAGTAACCTTGAACTGTTAAATCATTAAGGCCCAGCGTAATTGTATTCTGCAACATAAGCTTATACTCATCGCTTGACAGGTCAACACCCACAGCGTGACGAGTCAATATTCGACGACAACATGAATCATGTGATGTGGGGTTTAAATGGATGGTTGGATAAGCCTAGGAAATTGGAAGATACTTACTGGAGATATACCAACGTTTTGTTCAACATTCCAAATGGTCAGAGCCGTCATTAGTACTGGTTTTGCCTTTGCAGTAGAAGTTCCTGATGGTGTTTTCTGTGGATTACCGTCCTGTTTTAGCTTATGACTTCATAAGAATCAATTTATGTCGGACATTGTTGGTGTTTTTCAGTGACTTTCAGTGGTTCAGCTAATGTAGATTTTACTTCTTTGGATTATATCAGAATCAATATCCATAGATACATCTTTTCTTCATGTGCCTACTTGTTATATGCTTACTTAGTACAGGCATTACTTGAACCGTTCCCATGTTTATAAATCATACTAAAGAGTTGGTCCAATTATTACACTGCGTTATTAGACTGAGTGTTGATGCATCACTGTTGTTGTTGACATTGTCATTATATGGTTACATCACTGCTGAATACACTAGTATTGTTCAGTGGATATACTTGAATTGGAAATAATTCGTTTGTGGTATCGACGTATCTATTTATTTTCTGTTATAACTTAGCTATTGGTCCTCAATTGTATCTTCAATATATATTAGCTTTCATCCAAAGCTGGTTAGCATTGTCCTATGAATACATTTACCCAAGTAAATGGTCCTGGTTAATTCTGTATGCTGCCAGATTACCCACGTCTAAGTTTGTGTGAATGTTACTAATTACAACACACTTTCTTTGAATGGCGGACCAACAATTCTATGTATTATCAAGTTATAACGGTCATAAGTACTTTTCCGGTTGTACACTTGCTTTCACACAAAATGTCTTTTTATTGTGAACATATATATTGAGCAGGCCAGAAGGCTTCTCTATGAGTAAATTTCCATTCATATCAGAAATTGTCGTCTGTACTTTCTTATAATAGTATATATTAGTTATCATAAACAAAACAGGTTGGAAATGTAACCAATCTCAACAAAACTAGAATCGATTTTCCGACGACTAGAGTCCCCCACAAACTTCTTTTTTCATTCAGAGGCCAGGGGGATGCGCTTGGATATAGCATGGTTCTGGTTCTGACACAACTATGTTCCTAATTCCTTGGAATACAAAGTTCTGTTATTTATTCTGTTTGTGTCGTCACAAAGTCTACCCATGAAGATCCGGGTTGGAACTGGTCTTCAGTAACCAAAATTGCCGTTAGAGGCGACTTACGGGATGGGGTGGTCAGGTTTGCTGACTTAAGTGACCCATGTCAAGGCATCCCAATTGCGTAGAACAATGCTCATGATGTTGATCACTGGATTTTCTGGTGCAGACTCGGCTATTTACAGACCGCCGCCATATAGCTGGAATATTGCTGACCGTGGAGTAAAACTAAACACACCCACTCATCCAAAGTCAACACTTTCTTTACAATGCATTATACCACCTTTGCTTTGAAAGAATTTGTCATAATAGTGGTGGACCATTTGTCCTCTTTAAATATCTATATTTTAATATGTTCACCCAATCCAGTATTGTTGTAAGCGGATTAGGAAATATTAACATACTCATAAACAAATTTGAAAAATGCCAAATAATGCATTTTCCACAAAACAAGGGCAAACAAAAGCAAGCAAGCATATGATATTGGAGGCGAAGCAAATACTCAAGTTATTATACTTGGTCAACCCAAAGCTCTAATTAGTAGAGACAACACAATAATATTGGTATTATTTAATGAACTACTTACAACAGGGATAAGGCAACAACACTTTCCTGTGGGAGATGATTCATTACATTTCTGTAGCTGCAGACCATGCCTCAGCCATACACGTATTCATATTTCGGTTTTAAGGCAGGCATATTAGAGTGCCCTATTATTAGACTCCATATCAAGTACACACCTTCCATAGGGTATGAAATAGAGGTTATTGATCAGCCTGGCTTTGCGCTGCTGGATACACGTAATTATTTTGCCAAGTAGTGAACTGATTAATAATGATGTAGCTTAAGGTGACTTGATGCCGGTTCTCTTCACCATCTATTATCTTTTATGGCTTTTTCTGACTTTCATTGTTACAGCAGTAATGTCAATCATTGGAGTGTCTAGTCAAAACTTAATCGTTACAGATCGCATTATATGTGGACAATAGCTGAGTTAAAGAACCAATAAACATACAACAAGGCTTCTGTAAATGCATAAACAGGATCCAATGTTGATTTGTACAAAGTTAGAAAACTCCATTATTCGTCCCCATGTTGTGTAAAGATATAACTCTGTCAAAAAAGAAACGCAACCCCTGTATTTTAGAGATTTTGATCTGAAGTTTTAGGACGACACGGCATTTTTATTATTTAAGACAGAAGTCTGAAATTTGGCAGAATAATAACCCAGATGGGCATGTTTAAAATTGTTATTTCAAAAGTCATCTCACAGACACCAGTTTGTCACCAGGGGGGGCGTCTTTCTCAGTATCTCGTATGAGCACCACGAGCTGCAATCACTGCACGGCATCTCCTTGGACAAGAACGGATAAGACGCCGGATTCTTTCCTGGGGAATGGCTCTCCACTCCTCCTGCAGTGCAACGGCGAGCTGTTGCAGCGTCTGTGGCGGCGGCTGACGTTGACGTACGCGTCGATCCAGAGTATCCCACAGGTGTTCAATAGGGTTGAGGTCTGGTGATTTAGAGGGCCATGGCAAGACATTGACGTTGGAATTCTGCAGAAAGTTCATTGTTGCACGTGCAGTATGAGGCCGGGCGTTGTCCCGTTGAAAAATCTGTGTCTGTTGGTCAATAATCGGGAGAAGGTGAAGCTCTAACACGTGGTTGATGTAACGTTGGGCTGTCAGGTTCCCTGGAACGATCACCAAGTCTGATTTCTGGTTGTATGAGATGGTTCCCCAAACCATGACGCTTTCTCCGCCAAATCTGTCCACCTGTCGGACGCAGATGGGCGCAAAACGTTTATGACGTCTCCTATACAGACGCTGTCTTCCGTCGTGACGTTGCAAAAGAAAACGTGATTCATCAGAAAACCAGATGCGCCTCCAGTTTTGTAAAGTCCGTATCCTTACGTTGTTGCACCACCTGAGTCGTCGGCGTCGATGTAGGGGGCGTAGTACAGGTCCAACAACTGGTCTACAGGCACGTAAACCCGCTTCTTTCAGACGGTTCCTAATCGTTTGAGCTGACACTCTCCTCAAACCTGGTATTTGTGTGGCAGTCACGGTTGGTAGGGCATGCCGATTACGCAGGTGATGGACCCGGATGTACCGATCTTGAAGGGGGGTCGTGATTCTTGGCCTTCCACTTCTCGGGCGATCGTTGGTCAAATTGAAGTTGTTGTAGCGGCTCCAAAGTCGGGATATCGTTGTTTTGTGAACATTTAGGTGCCGTGCAACAGTTCCAAAACTTTCTCCGGCTTGAACACGACCAATGGCGATATTTCGGTCGGCAGCACTCAATCGTGGCATTTTTAACACAGCTTTTCGGCGACAAATGAATGAATATAATACGAAAGCACATGGGCTTTTATACACCCCTACATTAACTGCCATTTTCATGATTTGCATGTGTTTTTTTTTTGTGCGAAGTCACCATGAGGGTCATTTCATGCGTTGTGACGGAATAAGCAATAAAATACACTTATGCGTACAAATGCAGTTGTTTGGATGGTACTGTTCATTAATTACGTGTATAATTTCAGTACATTCGAATAAAATTTAGTTTGGAAGCAATAACTTCATTCAAACGAATTTTTCATATCTGAGGACAGGGGTTGCGTTTCTTTTTTGACAGAGTTTATTATTTCTTAGGCCTAATGTGTATTGATATTTATTTCACAGTTGAATGCAGCACTAAATAATGAATGCAGCGTACAAATGAAAGGAAATTATGCTAATAGAAAAATACAATCTGCATAATGTGTTTTTGTAGAATCAATTCTTACGCACAGCATGCTTCCCGGAGTCTGCAGATTGACCATGTGAACAGATCAGTGTTCCATTTGGAGACCGTGTGAGTACGCTGAAGATACATTCCACTAAACTCGATGTACAAATCATGGAAAAAACTTGCATTTTCATCCTGATTCTATTTCTGCGATTGTCAAAAGATAGAATTCAAGCCACTCAAGCTTGCGAGAATGTCAAATACTCTCATGTCATGACGTTTGACAATCGGCAGTTTTCAAGATGGTTGTTGTGGACAAAATCATCAGTGAATAGAAATGAATGTGGCACCTTCTGTCTCCAAGAGAAAACCTGCGTCACCTTTCAAGTGAACTCAGGAGGATCAGTCTGTAGAGGCTACGCCGTCGCCTTTAACGAGAACTCCGAAAGCGAATCAGCCCCGGGATGTATGCTGTATGTATCGGAGAAAGGTAATTCATGTTATGAAACATATACGTGTCAGAGTATTACACAAAGTAGTATGATATATGTTTGCTTGTTTACACTTTTCTGGGACACGTGGACTCCTATAAAATGTCTTTTTGTATGTTTGGTTTTCGTGATATTTGAAACATTGATGATATCCTGTCTGGCAGGATTGCCACTTAGAAACATACTCAGTGACACTGAGACTTTATTTAGATATGAAAAATTACACGGCTTGAAATCAACCCCCGGTATTATACTTCCACGATTGGTGGTAAGACGTAAACAGCCCACAATGCGTCGATGCTGGTCATGCAATTAGCCAGTTACCCATAAGTAACCATTGTAAAGTGCAGAATATATCATTGAAGGGACTAATGAAAAAAAAGGCTACCCTCCCAATAAACTGTTTTCCTGAATGTTGAATAAAATATTTGGTGTCAGTTCCTTTGAAATGTCTTTAAGAAATAAACACATCAACTTCAGATGAAACAGATCTTGGATATTGTTTTCTCAAATTATAAAATTTCAGATTTTGTAATTTTGTGATATTTCCTTGTATACATAGTATTCTTTGTACGGAAATGCCCTGTACTTAAATGTCTTGTACGGAAATGTACAATCAGTAGCAACTGTACACAAGGACAAATATATCAAATATCTTTCTGCTTCTTGGCTTATCTTAAAACTTGGTTAAAATTCATCTCTGATAGATGCTAGCGTATTTGTTCATTCCTGCTGTACATATTTATGTCTCCCCCCGAAGGGTCGGGAGACACATTGCTTTTGGTTGAGTTTCCGTCGGCGTTGGCGTCGGCCTCGTCGTTCCCATTGTTTCTGGAACATAACTCTAAAACTACTTCAAAGTCTTCACCAAATTTGGTACACTGCCTCTCCATATCATTTAGATGTGCCTTTGGGGGCTTTGAACTTTTCTTTCAATTTTTTTTTCTGTTTCAATGGTAACAAATTTGGACTTGGTCTTTTTGAAGGGTTGGTTTAAGCAAGCACACCTCTTCATCTCTGTTTTGTGAGCCCTTTTTGCAGCTTATTGATAAGGCATACCGAAGATCTGGTGTTGTTATATGCTGCTACAGTTTCCATGATATCACCTATCTTGTTCTTTATTCGATTCCAGTGAAAAAGTTACATCCATAACTAAATGTGATAAAATTTGATTTTGATTTCAGCATTTGTTGAGATTTTTTCTTGACTAGAAACAACTCTGTCACTGAAAAACAACATGCATTTCGAAAAAGAATCAGTTAGAATTCTGAATGTGCTGTAAAGTATAACTGTTGAGGTGTTGATTTACGATAAGCAAGTAATTTCAATTGAATATAAAAATATTAACTCATTAAGCCCGAGAGCCAATTCACTACTCAACACCTGGAACCCCTTGCTGATTGCCCGACTCATGTGCTGAGACTAATTAGTAGTAATAACACCTGATTTCCCTGGCAGGTTTCGGGGATGACAGGAAACTGTCTAGTCGTACAAACAAGTCCTGATTGTTTAATTGTGTCGCACTATGAAAGAAAGCAAGCGTGAATACATATCATGTAATCGAACGTTTTATGTTATTTTATTGCTATAGTTTCTCTTGTAGACCTTTGGCGGCTTGTACATTTATATTTTATCAACATATGCATGTATTCTTTGTATATAAGAGATGAGACATACATAAACAATTCTCTCTCTCATATCATTGTGTGAAGTTTAATTTTACAAAACATCTATGACAATGACATACTGTAAAGAAGAAGTTACTTACATACTTCATAGTCTTCAACGAAATTAGCGTTTTTGCCGATACATTTCTAGTGTATACGGATTATTTTAAGGAAAGTGTTATTACACTTTTCTGTGACTAACATAGAGCACATTCATAGCATGACATTTTGTTGCATCTAGATTCAATGCAGAAAACATACGTGACCATACAAACATACATATACAAAATGAATATTACATATTCCTTGCATAGACAAGTGACTCTATACTGAATTATTATATTGTATAAACCTGCAGTTGAATTCCCCCAAATATTTATGAAGGTGGGTGTGCCTATATTTATACTGAATGCAAACGAGGTTCACAAGATAACAGATGTGCATGTATGCATAAACGTTACAGAGAGGGGCGTGACTCCATAAAGCAAGCTGTCCAATGATATAATAGCTTATCTGTTTAGTTTACACTTGTCACTGGACAAATCTTTCAACAAGGGCGTAACTACATATGCATTCTACCGGAGGCTGTTATATTTTAAGGTCGAAAGAGGTCTTCAGTTATCTCATTACTGTTTTCTGATTGAATGATTATACGCATGTGTATCGATACCGTAACTGATATACTATCCATCTTTTATTGACGATGGATCGATAGAGACTGAGTTCATTGATACACGTGATAATTACACCGGATTTGATAATTGCAGAGATCAAATACAAACGTTTTACACAATGCTCATGTAAATTGCATAGAAAACTGACAATTCAAATCAACATGAAACTTTCAACAGCTTGAACAAAAATGCTTGAAATACCTTTGGATGGTTTACATGTATTAATTCATTATATTACTTCTGTGTATGTCTAAGAATTTTTTGAATTACCAACTTACTGTGTTTTGTAACAAACGTAGTAAAAGATGTCATTGTTGTAATGACACTGTAATGTATATATATTCGATGCAACGGCGCGACTTGTCACTTTATATTCGACAAGGTAACATTATCAACTTCAGATTATTGAAAATAAATAGTTACAAAGTTGAAGCTGAAGAAAATATAATCTTCAGTAACCGCTAAACAATTACATCTAATTCAATCAATTTGCATAAGAAGTATTTTAGGTGGTATCCTCTTTTGCCAGTCGGGCAATTTGTTTATTTAAAGAGTAAGAGGATTATGAGGCATGGTCGACTGGGTTTGTTTGTTTAACGGCCTTCACCAGTAGAGGGAAAGATTTAGTATCCATTCCCATTGAAGAGTACCAGACACTGACATCTGTAAACACATCATAATGTGTTCATTTGCCAAACGCTGTATAAGCCTATGATAATGATTAGCAATTGCTATCAAAACACTTTAAATACTTCTTCTGATTGACACTAACGGTAGCATCTCTCATAAGAAAAGCTAATATTTGCTCAGTACTACTAAATTGGTTGAAATAATAGGTACATTGCGATTTTTAAAAGTACGACACACATGTGCCTATCTCGCTGCCTAAGAGGTGCTTTCTGTTGTTGCACGTGTGCGTCTCTCGCTGTGAGGAGTTCATTAATTTGTCGAACATGTGCGTCTCTCGGCCTTAATGAGTTAAATGAAGACTTTACAAACATGCTATTTATCAACTGAATCCAGGTTAAGTGGCATTCATGGGAAAGTCTATTAGATGCCATATGAAGTAGTTTTAACCAGTATTTTATGCATTTCACCGATACTGTATAACAAATGGATACCCTCTACATCCCCCAGAAGCCATTACAATGGGATGCTTTTACCAAGATAATGCTTTCATTCAATATACTGTAACCTTTCTACCATTTCAATTTTGTATCCAATCTCATTCCGCATACATAAAGATTGCCTTAATGTAGCTGAATTGATGCATAGTGCGGTGTCAATTAACACACTTGGCTTGTGCACTGGCCTGAAAATACCTTGTGTTGATGCAAGTGAAGGTATGGGTGATTGTGACTGAGAGTGTGTTAATATTAAAAGTCACTTCACTCAGCAGTATCATGTCTAAAACAAGAGTTGAATTTTAAAAACTTGTCAACACAGGGCAGTAAAAAGCACTAGAAGGTCAAGTGTTTAAATGAAAAACTAGTTTGTAAATCTAAAACGTTCTTACTATTAATACAATACAATATTAAAACAGGCTGTAGATCGCAACAACTGAAGGTAGATCATCATACTAGGGACCATGGGGACTTACAGTGCTTCTACTATCTGCATGAACCCTAGCTTACGTTCCCTCTCGGGGTAACAATCATTTTGCGCAGCTTGGACCCGCTTTGAAGGTATTGCCTCTAACAGCCAAAGTGATTAATTCATTCTAACAAATTGGAAGAGAAGATATGAGCAGGATTTTCCTGCAGCCTAATCTGCAATATCATGGTCATGGCACCAAAATGTTACGATCGGGGCTCTTTCAATCGTGAGCTATGTCGGGGGGTGCTTATTAATAACTAAACTCTTTGTGTATATGTTGCTGGTTTGTTGAAGCAACGGAACACTCCAATAATTAAAACGATTGCAGATTTAATTCATTATTAATCGATCAGATCAGCCTTAATGTAGCTGGATTGATGCACAGTGTGGTGTTAGTTAACACATTTGGCTTGTGCACTGGCCTGAAAATACCTTGTGTTGATGCAAGTGAAGGTATCAGTGAGTGTGACTGAGTGTGTTAATATTAAAACTCACTCCTCCAATATCTTAGCAGTACCACCTCTAATATATAGAGAATACTAAACGATGTCCCGTGTAATACCATATTTATGAAACGAGTGAATGGTTTGGTACCTAACGAGCGAAATCGAGTTAGATATTACTACCATTCACGAGTATCATAGATATGGTATTACACGTGACATCGTTAAGTATTGTTTATATTGCTCACCCAACATTACCAAAATAATATCGAGCAAAGTACTTCTTTCCTAAGAATTCAACGAGTGTGATTGACTCTGCTTTCCACGAGTCAAGGTAGGTCTAATACTGTTGTGACAGAGGTATTAGTATTGTGACGTCATAACTGTAAAACACTTTGACATTGTAAAATTATTAAACAGTGATATCTTTCACGGATGAGTATGAAAAGTTCTAAATACATGATAGATATAGAATTGAATTTGAAAAAAATTGTCAACAGTCATTTTACGTTACTATGACCCCCTTTGAAGGTATTGCCTCTAACAGTCAAGGTTACTAATTCATTCTAACAAATTAAAAGTGAAGATATGAGCCAAATTTTCCTGCAGCCTAATCTGTAAGATCATGCTCATGGCACCAAAGGGTTAACATCGGGGCTCATTCAGTCGTGAGATATGTCAATAACTAAACTCTTTGTGTATATGTTGCTGGTCTGTGGAAACAATGGAACACTCCAGTAATTAAAAGGATGGCAGATTTAATTCATTATTGATAGATCAGATCAGGCATAACATAGCAATAACAATAATATACTATGACATACTATGACAAAGGACTATTGGGAATCGTGATGTCTTCTTCCTTAGTATATGCCCTTCTTTTCACCCTAAAACTAACTATCCTTTTCTTCTCGAGTAGACTGGTTCATGAATCTCAGGAAAGTGGAACCTTCACATTTCAGATACATTTTCAAAAGAAAACATTCTCTGATAAGTGTTTGGTTACCTCAGCAAGAAAAGTGCAGACTGAAAAACGGTGGTATACAGCCATCAGTCTGTGGTACGCCCGTTTATCTGCCGTCCGTTTTCCTTTTCCATAGCTGAACTTCAAAAGCGTTGAATATGTCTTCTTAAAAATTTTAAACACGTCAGCCAAATGGGGAAGTAGTGCTGATTAAATTATTTGGGACTTTTATGTGTTCATGACGACAAGGTGGTCTTCTATGGAAACGAGGAAAATATATTGGAAAATACTTATCTTTAGTATGTTGTTCTCCTATGATCTGCAGATATCCAGTGGCAAGTAACAATTTTGTAGTCTAAGTAGCCAAGGTCCACATGCAAATTGATTGAGGCCAAGGGGATATGACTCTTGTGTTAGGTACCTTACTTGATGTGTGCAGGTCTTATTGTGTTAGCTTTGTGAAAAGAAAAATTATATATACAGTTTACGTCCTGCTAATAATATTTTTTTCAGTGAAGTGTCAAACCCACCTTGCTTTCTTAGACTGGTGCCCATAAAGCATTTATTCTTCTAATGAAGCTTTGCGTGTGTAATCAGATTTATGTATTCTTGTAGTTCCCGTTGTCTCAGTATGTTCAGTAATCTTGACTCCTATGAGGTTACTCTTTTCAACCTTTATGTCGTAGGTGTTGCAACGGATATTGGTTCATATCTATAAATACATTCAATGATAATCTCAGTTTTAATTGTATTTTTCGTTGTTGTTTTTTCAGCTCAAGGCTTTATTGGATCTTCGTGTCAGAACAACGCAGACTGTTACGTGGCAAGCTCCGTCTGTGTCAACTCCGAGTGCATGTGTGACCCCGGACTGGGGTTCTCACCTCAACACGAGTCTTGTGTTTCGAGTATGCATGAGATAATATCTTTTCTGGTTCATATTTGCAGCAATTGTGCTTGAAAATCTCTTTGTTTCCAATGGCCAAATGATGCCACAAACCAACCATGTCCTTAGCCTACACACGGTGATAACGGTGTTAGGATCTACATCGAAACGTCGCAACTACTACTGCAACAAAGAAGTTGTCTATCCATGAAAAGTGTTCCACTTCATCATACCAGCTTCTAAATGCCACTTAAGGAAGTTATGCGTTTTGGGGTTTTTTTGTTTCTTTTTCTTTTTCCTTTTTTGATGAGTGTATAATGAAATCCAACAGAAGTGAAAGATATAGTCCAAACAGTCACCATTATGTTTGCAGAATGAGCTAATTCATGAGAGTTAGTCCCACAACAGGTGGTAAACTGCACAACAGGTGGTGTCGACATGCATGGGCAGTGACACTGAAGGGTCGATTTTATTTTATTAAGGAGACGAAAGGATTCTTGTGAGGTTGTTTCGGTGTGATTATTTGCATTCAAAATTACGAAACGAAATTAGAATAGAGCGAGCAGCTTGTGGTGTCTTCTGAAAATATGTTTTTCTGTGTAATTGTTTATTACGATTATCTCGATGGGTGGACAAATGTTGAAAATTAATGGTGGGCTACTTTTCAATGTAGATACTATTCCTTCATCATCAACTTTCAACCAGTCTTTAACTGACATTCATCTGACTTCATTTTAAGTACCCTAATCCCCCATCTTGTGCATCATGTCACAGAAATCTACAACATAACTAATTTGTTTGCAGGTTGTACAGAGTACGGTCCTCATTACACTACAATACGTGGCTACTTTATAAAGGCAAACAACATGGCTACCTACACCGGGGTGACTGAACAACAGTGCATGGACCACTGCACCAATCACGTCGCCTTTGTCTGCGTGTCAGCTGATAGGCGTGCCTCTGACGGGAGATGTGACCTCACCACCCAAACTCTCATGACTGTTGCCGCATCAAACTACAGAATAGAAACGGATCGTACAATTATTGCCCACTTTTCCCGAGATTGCAAAGCGTGATCCGACCATGTAAAACTACTCTCAGTTCCCTCTGTGATTGTTTAATTAAACCATTAATCAGGAGCAATAGTCAACACTTTGTAGCTGACGATACAAAATACTCTCAAAATACCCTCAAGTTCAAACAAGCGGGGCAGTAGGGTACATAAGTGGTCAAAGCGTTCGCTCGTCACGCCGAAGACCCGGGTTCAATTCCCCACATGGGTACAATGTGTGAAGCCCATTTCTGATGTCCCACGCCATGAAAATGCTCGAATATTGCTAAAAGCGACGTAAAACCAAACTCACAACTCACTCCAAGCAAACATCGCAATACTATACAAGTCATTACTCGTGATAGGTCAACATGAAGAAACAAGGACCCGCAGTCCCAATCCCTGACGTGATCTGATCTGGTAAGACCAGACCACACAGGCGGCTACGTCCGTGTCTCCAAGTATTTTGTTCACAGATTGAAATAATCATCACTACTCATGATCAGGCGTTTTGTTATACCGAAATTCATTTCAAGTTTATGTGGCCTTTCACCCATTAACATGGAACTGTAAAGCGTTAGGGCACGACTATTCTGCAACAAGTCAATACTCATAACCTGACAGGTCAACAAAGCGTAACGAGTCAATATTCAAAGACAACTTGAGTCATGCGACTGTGGGGTGTAAATGGATTGTTGGATTAGCCTGTGAAATTAGAGGATGATTGCTTGAGATATACCAACGTTTTGTTGAACATCCCTGTGGACGACCACACGACCTTGACCTAATGATCAGAGCCGTCATTAATACTGGTTTTGCCTTAGCAGTAGAAGTTGCTGATGCAGCTTTCTGTGGATTGCCATCAATTTATGTCTTATGACTTTATATGAATTTCTTTATGTCGGACTTTGTTGCTGTTTTTCAGTGAGTTTTAATAGTTCAGCAAATGTAGATTCATTAAATACATCTTTTTGTCCTGTGCCTACTAGTTATATAGTTTCATTATATAGGCATTACTTTAATAGTTGCCAAGTTTATGCTAAAGAGTTAAACTGCCTTATTACACTGAGGTTTGATGCACTAACGTTTTTATTCACTTTGTCATTATGCGGTGCCACTTTTGCTGAATACAGTTGTTCTAGTATTGTTCGGTGGATATACTTGAATTTGAAATTATGCTTTTGTACTATCAACGTGTCCATTTACGTTCTGTAATAACTTGGCTATTGCTCTGAATTGTATCTTCAATGTATATTAGCTTCCATCTGAAGCTGGTTGGCATTGTCTTATGAATACATTTACCTAAGTAATGGTCCTCGCTAATTTTGTATGCTGCAAGAATACTCGGGTGTATGTTTGTGCGAAGTGCTACTAATAAGAAAACACTTTCATTGAATGACAGACCAACAACTCTATGTGCTCTCAAGTTTATAGACCCATGTGCTTGCCATAAAAAAGGCGACTATCTTGTCGTAAGAGGCGACTAACGGGATCGGGTGGTCAGTTTCACTGACTTGGTTGACACATGTCATCGGTTCCCAGTTGCGCAGATCGATGCTCATGCTGTTGATCACTGGATTGTCTGGTCCAGACTCGATTATTTACAGACCGCCGCCATATAGCTGGAATATTGCTGAGTGCGGCGTAAAACTAAACTCACTCACTCACTCACTCACTCAAGTTTATAGCGGTCATAAGTACTTTTCAGTTGTTCACTTGCATTCAAACAAAATGTTTTTTTTATTATGAACATTTATATTGAGCAGAATGTTTCTCTATGACTAAATTTCCATTCATATCAGGAACTGTTGTCTGAACTTTCTTCGCTGTATTAGCATTAATAGTTGCCATAAACAAAACAGGATGGATATGTAACCAATCTCAACAACATTAGAATAGATGTTTCTTCCACTAGAGTCCCCCTCAAATATTTTTTTTCATTCAGAGGACAGGGGTGTGTGCTTTGGATATAGCATGGTTCCGGTTCTGACACAACTATGTTCCTAATTCCCTGGCATACACAGTGTATATATAAAGTTCTGTTATTGTCCCCACACAGTCAATACTTTCTATGTAATACCTTACACCACCTTAGCTTTAATAATAGAGGTGGATCCTTTGTTCTCTTTAAATGTCTATATTTTAACATTTTCGTCCAATACAGTATTGTTGTAAGCAGATTATGAAATGTTAAAATGTTCGCAAACAAATTTGAAAAATGAAAAATAATTTATGTTCCCCAAAACAGGATCAATGGTAAACAAGCAAGCATATAATATTGAAGGAGAAGCAAATGCCCCGGGGCCTTTTGACACTCGAAACACATCCAAGAAATGTTTTCAATGTCACCCTCTGAATGCTGCAATCAAAAGAAATGATTAAACAATATCTAGTATGAAATATGTATAACACCGAAACAAATTTCAATCTGGGTGGTCATATTTTCAAAGTAACTCAACTCCGTCACAACGTAATTGAGTTGAGTAACGGAGTTGAGGACACTGGGATAAAATGGGGGATCACTCTGGTAAAACAAATGTTCAGTGTCTTTTTCAGCTTGATAGTGATTCTACATTAAATGACCTTTTATCAAGTAAATAAACATTTGTATTAATTTCAGAATGAGTAGAAATGAACTCTGAACGGAGTTGAGTGTGAATAACATACTGAACCTACCTCTGACATTGTACAACTTCAAAATTCTCATTAAAAGATGCAAGGTGTCTCTCCTGCCACCAAAAAGTTCTGTGACATCATTTCCTGTTTGCCTTGTGCTTCTTGACTTGAGAAGGCTCTAGTAGCTTCTTATGTAACGGAGTTGAGTGAATAATACGGGACACGCATTTTTTTTAATGTGTATAATTGTGAAACCAAGTTATAATTGATACATATAAGCGAATATATGTTTTGCCACGTCTATCCTTAGATGCTATGTGATACAAATGAGACTACAGTGGTCATAAATGTTCCACATTGTGCAACATTCTTGTGCACGGTCAGTGTGAGACAAGCAGAACTGACTTGTTTGAGTGGCATTTTAGAAGTTGAGACGTACAATATATAACAAGTTTTATGGATAACAACTTCTTTATTTTCGTGAGTGCGACGTTTCGATACAGATTCTTGTACCGTTGTCAACCTTGCTTGACAACGGTACAAGAATCTGTATCGAAACGTCGCACTCACGAAAATAAAGAAGTTGTTATCCATAAAACTTGTTATATAAAGCAGAACTGAGCTAACACACATGCTTCCCACCCGATATTTTTCTTTTAGTTATCTTTTTTGAATTTAATTTAGACAATTGTTAGGTGTCATAAGTCCTATTTCCTTTGTAGAGTATGGCCCAAACCAAGAAAATATAATTTATTATGAATTTTGACAAAACAAAATCTTAAAAATATTTCACCCTTTGCTAGTAACTTGCCAATAGCTACGGATGATAAAGCATGCCCTACACGAATGTTTCCAGACAGCAAAGTTGCAGAACGTATGCATGTGGACGAACAAAGACTACTACTGCAATGATGAAAACCTTAGCAGCTGAAACATCAAGTACAATTTCTGCTGACCCCTTTCATACACAATTTTCTTTGGCCACTGACGGCAGTAATGATGTTATATCCTGTAGTGGTTAGATACTTTGATGATAAGGCAGGGGTGGTTGTATGCTTGCTGCTGCCCGTGTCTAAATGTGAGGAGGAATCTTTCACTGGGGAAAACATGTGTAATGTTTTGAGGAGAGAACTTTCTCAGCGAAATATCAGCTGAGAGAACTGTATCAGCTTCAGCTGTGACAATGCCAGTGCATGACAGGTATCCACAAAAGAGTCTCTGCGTTTATCAGAAAACTGCATAAAAGTGTCTACATGCAAGGGTGTGCATGCCACCTAATTCATTTGGCTGTCAGACATGCAGGTAAATAATTGCCAATATAAATTGAAGACTTTCTAATTGATATACTTTTACTTACATAAAAGTTCGAAACATCAAAAAGAACTTAATCACTTTCAGAACCTTTTTGGTGTAAAGCTACATAATATATTAAAGCATGTGTCAACTCGTTGTCTGTCTCTTGGTTCATGCATTTCTTGTCTATTGTAACACCTGTCTGCAAAAGTCAAACAAGGATAAAGTTGGTGATATCAGTAAATAAACAGGATGAACCTGAAACCAAGAACACAAAGATGGAGAAAGAAAAGGACAAAACCAAAGCTGTGAAGGGAAAAGAAGTGAAAAGGAAGCAGACAGGTTTGTATCCATAAGTCCAGACCAGAGAGAAAAGTGACAAAAAGAGACTTGTGAAAGAGGGACAGACTAAAGAGGAGAGTAAGAAGATGGAAAACAAAAAGAAAATGAAACTACAGTGAAACCTGACAAATCTAAGCAGTGTGAGAAAAATATGAAAGCAACCATTGCCAGAAATTTGTGCTATGATTACCAGACTAGAACGAATACGAATTGAATTCTAAAATTGGGTTCAAACACTGTTTGTTTCTAAAACCAACATTGCCAGTATTTGATCACGTGAATGTGTTTCTACAAAATGAAGCTTAAAAGAAAAGTAGCATCTCTGTTTGTATCAGGTATGAGTGTCCAAGGCCAAAACACTGCCGGATGTTCACTTCAGTGAAAGAAAACATCAGGGATGAAGAGAAGAAGTAATGATAGGGACATAAACCAGAAAGTACTTCAATGAAATGTCAGAAGCTTCGGAGTTATCGTCAAGTGACCCAGACACTTTCTCAAGAGCGTGAGGAATTGAATTTCTCTACTATAGCCTGCAGATATGTTGTGCAAAAATGTCCATTTAGAGATGAGATACTTTTTCCTGCAGAAGTTGCAGACATACATCTCAGAAGGTCTGCTAACTATGCATCTGTGACATACTTTCTTGAGAGATTTCCCAAAGTGGGCAGTGATGATCAGACTGACAATAGTCCCATTTCAGTGTGTGCTGAAATGGAACTTAAATTTCACAGATACCAAGATGATCCACTCACAGAGGAAATTCCTATTGTTTCCTTCTTAGAGAGTTCAGAGTCCTAATTACACCAATTCGGAGGTGGCATCTCTGCACTTGAGGCGACTAAGGGTTGTCTCTGACTTGGTCGATGCATGCAATCGTATCATCTGAATTGGCTGGTACAGACTATTAACAGGCCGCCAAGTAATTGTAACACTTGATATCAATGGATGTAAAGCGACATTCAGTGAACAGATATATACTGGACAAAATAAGTTAGGAAAGTTGGTATTTT